CCGCGCGCTCGCCCGCCCGCCCGCCTACGCACGCGCAGGCGCCCTTCCTCCGGCCGGGAAGCTCCGTCTCGCGCCGCGCCCGTCTTCGCGGCTGCCTGACCAAAAGAAAAAAAAAATAGATCGCGCGCCCACTTGCCTTACGAGCGGCTTTCCCGCTTGCCTGTAGGCCGCCACCCTTCCGAAGGAGAGTTGTCACTGGACGGAAGCGACGGTTGTGAATGGAAATCCCTCCGTCCGCACCCCTAGGCCGGCATTTTATCGGCTCCTGAAAGGGTCCTTCAGGCGTTTGCGTTTGACAACCCTCCCGCGCAGGAGGGGAGTGCCGCTCCGGCAGAGCGACTCTATGGTGAGTCAGAGCTGGGAGGACTCCCGGGTAAGGGTGCCGCGATCCCGAGCCGCGCGGATTAGGATCGGTCCTGGAGGAGGCGCTGCGCTTCCTGGGGGAGCCATGAGCCCCGGGAGGGAGGGAGGGAGGGACGGAGCCCCGGACGGGGGGGCGCTTATTCCACGCAAGGGACTGGGAACGCCCGCGAAAAGCCTGAGCGAGACCCGTAAACTCTCAGAAACCGGCGGGCTTTAGGGCCCGGGAGGGCGCCTCCCTCCCTGCCTGCCTGCCTGCCGAAGAGACCTGCGGGACCCGAAAGCTTGCCTCGGTCCTTGTGAGAGGCCAGTGGCGTCTCCAAGGCGTCGCTCTGGTGGCTTCCAAAGGGGCGCACGACCTCCTCCTGCAAGGGTGGCACGTCTGAAGTGACAGAAGGCCTCCAAGAGAGGCCGAGGAAGTTTGTAGCAAACAAAAGCTGCTAGACCTCAAGGTGCCAACAAGACTGTAGGCCTTGTTTGCTGCAGCAGCAGCAGCTCACGACTCACGGCTAGGCAGGGCGAGGCAACCGTTTCCCGTCGTTTCAGCAAGAGAGACGAATCACGAAGCAAGAAGCCAATGCATCAGGCTACATTTTAACGGGTTCATTTCAGCGGAAGATTCCCCAGGGATCCGGGATCTTAGCTGGACATTTTGTAGATCCCGGGGTGGGGGTGGTGAATTGTGCATGAATACAGGTTGCACTTTTAAAAAAACATCTTGGCCTAATAACAATAACCTCATCTAATAAAGAGGCTGCATTTTGCACATGCTCTGAGACACCTTCCCCCCCCTCGTTATGCCACCCCGAAGCAGGCTGTGCGTTCACTGCCTTTTCAGCCGTGTGTGTGTGTGTGTGTGTCTTCTCTCCCCTTATCCCACCTGCTGCCANNNGTGGCTCTTCTCTTCCCCCCCCCCACATTGACCCCTCTCCAGATCCCCCAGCTGATCCGATCCATGCCTAGGAGGGCTGAGAGTATCAGGTCATACCAAGCCCCCCCAGAAGGAACTTTTCTACTACCTTCACCCTGTGTCCCCCCCTCCCCCGGGGTGTCCCTAGACTCCGACATGCATTCCTGGGATGTGAGCCGGGCTCCCAGCCTGCCGGCGAAACAAAACGGAGCTTGGCTTTGACAGGAAGCAAGAGGCGATGACGCTGCTCGCCGGCCGGCCGTTCTTCCCTTTCCTCTGCAGACCAAGCAGGGCTTCCTTCTCCCGCACCCCACAACGTCTGCAAAGATTCCACCGCTGCCTCCTCCAACCCATCAGGCACGGCTTCCACTTTGCATAACGTGGCCTCTTTAGCTGGGTGTGACACCCAAATATGTCCTCCTGATCTGCTGAATTGAAGGCGGAGGCCTGGCTTTGCTTTCTTTTGGGGGGGGGTCCAAATCTAAAAAGTGGGTGACAGAATGGCCAGCGCCCCGAGGCGCCCATAGTCTGGCCTCACGAGCCAAGAAGAGAGCCGCCACGTCTGGCCCAGGTTTTGAGCTGTTTACTTTCACTCCACATCATCTTTGCCTCATAAAAGAAAAGAAGAAGACAAAAACATTGTGGCGCCTTAAGGACTAACTGCTCTCTTTTCATGTGAGCTTTCGTGGATCAAGTCTTGCTCATATGCCTGGGGCAGTGGACTTGATCCACGAAGGCTCACATTAAAAGAAAGCAGTTAGTCCTTAAGGTGCCACAACGTTTTTGTCTTCTTTTCTTCTCCCCCCCCCCCCTTTGTTTT